TGCTCGGAACGACTGAGGAGATGTGAGATACCCTGTCCTGAGATATTAGGGAAGGCCATAGCTATATATTTATATGCGATTGGGTGGGAGACGCTGTAAGAATGAAATACTGTGGCGGTCCAGTAAGCAGTTTACACTTCTCCCGACTTGTGCTCTTCAAATGCCCTCTGGACATGAATGCCTTGCATTGTCCGGACAGGCTGGAATGAAGGATAACTGGTCATTTTATATCTTCTCCAAGTCAAAAGGTATGTGCGAGTGTGTTTGTAAAATTCAGCATGTGGAGGGGGTGCAAATCTTCACCTGTTTTGGCAGAGCCAGTCACACCTGTCTGTCAACTTTCCCCCTGAAGTTTGACAGCCACCAGCTGACTTTCCAAACCAACACAGCCCCTTTAACACAAGGACAGCCATCGACTCAGCAGACCGGCGTGAATTACAATGCCACCCATGGAATTTCTCGCCATCTGTGTGGCGGTAATTAAAGGAGCATTGTAAGACATCTTCTTTGAAGATTTATTGATGAATATGGCTTAATTAGAGAATGATATAATGTGGTGCACAGCAAAGCCCATGTTGGGGACTTTGTACCACTTATGAGTGTGTTTTAAGTACTTGCAAGTGTTTCATTGTCAGTTTCATGACTATGAGCAATCGCAGGCATGCAAAATAGGGGCAAAAAAGTTGTATTAAACTTGGAGAAGTGCTAAAAATGTTTTTCCCCCTGACCATCTGCATGAAACGAAGCTGCAGGAGTCTGATCTTTCTACACTTCTCTTAAAAAAAAAAACAAGATATCCCACACTACTTCTCACACATGTCCACGTGTCATTGTTTTTGGTTAATGTAATAAAAGCCATTTTTAATTTATGGGTGTTTTTTTAACTATGGGCACAGCTCGGCTTGTATATGACAGCTCGGGGCATGGAAATGTTTTTAAAATAACTACTAATTTAGCACTTATACTTTTGTATTAAGGGCAAAATGGTTGGTTGTGAAGTGATTTGTGTTTACACAATAATATGTACACAATAAATATCAAATTTAATCATTCTTTTTATCTCTGTATACATTATTACATTATTATTATTCACAAATAATATAATAATTCTTATGTCCATAATAATAATATGTATTTATATATATATATGTGTATATATATATATATACACAATATATATATACACACACACACACACACACTACCGGTCAAAAGTTTGGTGCAAGACCCTTTTGGGGTAGGGGCGTGTTTGTTTTGGTGATTTCAAATATCAACATTGGCTACCAGAAATCCCTTACTCTGCCTTTAAGACCTTCGTTCATCTTCAGAACACAAATTACCATAATCAAGGCCCAGAAAGGTCCTAGTAAGGACATCGTTAAAATAGTCCATGTGCCATCAGTGGTTCAACCGTAATTTTATGAAGCTGCGAGAATACTTTTTCTGCACAAAGGAAACAAAAATAATGACTTTATTCAACAATTTCTGTTGTGTTCATGAGGGTACCACGACGCATAACATTGCGTTTGAACCACTGATGGCACATGTACTATTTTAATGATGTCCTTACTACCTTTCTGGGCCTTGAACCTGTCAGTTGCATTGCTGTCTATGCAGGGTCGGAAAGCTCTCGGATTTCATCAAAAATATCTTAATTTGTGTTCTGAAGACGAACGAAGGTCTTACGGCTTTGGAACGACATGAGGGAGAGTAATTAAAGGCAGAATTTTCATTTTTGGGTGAACTATCCCTTTAAAGTTCATTTTTAAAAGCACTAATAATTTAATAACACTAATAAATGTAATCTTTTACATATCTCAAAATAAATATATCCATTTTTCAAACTGTGTAGTATAATGTGTGGTCTGAATTTTGAAATAATTTATTTAGCTATAAAAACAGTATAGACTGATTTGTCAGTTGGCGGCCATAGCATGAAAACAATTATCTCCTCAAAAAGTAAATATTTAATCAAAGTAAAAGCTTGTCTGTATTATACAAGTGTTGCAGATCTGTATTATACAAGTGTCTTGGAGTAAGTACAGTAGCTTCAGTGGTAATGATCTTTCAAAGGGCAGGACACATTTTGCTTGAGCTGGCCAGCAAATGATGTCATGGTCTGTCTAGCCAGCAGGTTTAGTTTTTATTATGACTCCACCACCAATTATTAACTGTCAGTTCTGTGTGACTGCAGTAGAATATGCACACAAATTAAGACAGACAAGCAAGTACATGTGATTAAGAAAAATGTGCAGTATGTTCACTGGAGACTTTTCTGATTTGATTTTCAAATCTGATCTGTGGGGCTGAGTGTCTGCATTCTTATTTGTTTAAATCAAATATGTACACTTCGTTCTAAAGGTGAGGTTAATACGATTTTTTAAAGGTTTTTGAAAGAAGTCTCTTGTTCACTAAGGATGCATTTATTTGATCAAAATACAGTGAAAACTATTAATTTCAAATAATATTTTTGTGGAAACCATGTTTTTTTCCCCCCGAGATTCTTTGATGAATAAAAAAGTATGTTATAAAATCTTTACTGTCACGTTTGATCAATTGAATGCATCCTTGCTGAATAAAAGCATTCATTTCTTTAATTAATTTCTTCTACTGACCCCAAACTTTTAAATGGTAGTGTATGTTCAGTATAACCTATATAAATATTAAAACAGGTTGAAAAAATCCCATACATTTAGACTGAAAGAGGGACTCTAGCATATCTAGAGAATATAATAGAAATATAATTAATAATATAATATTAAGAAAATAATGTAGTTACACAATAAGAATTTTTTTTTTTTTTACTTGAGCCAGTAATTAACCACCTAGCAACCACATAGCTGTGCACTATCCACTCTAAACACCTTGGCACTGCTTATATTTTTAATATTTTTTCATGACATCAAATAAGCGTTTCGTCCTAAATGACAAAAACACTTGAATTTTGATCTGGTTCTTATTTAAACACACAATACGTTGCATTTAAATGTGGTTTGTGTCTGATTTGTGAAAACCAGATTCCATGTGGTTGTTTGCAGATTGCACAAAACCAGATTTGAGCTGGATATGCAAAACCGGCCTAATAGGGAACGAGAGAGCAACGCACGGCCATGTTGGACTTTCAGAGATGGTGCTGCTCTGTTGGTGCATTCAGCAGGCTGACGGATTGGGAATGAAGTCACTTCCTGGCACTACACTTGTCGACTGTTCCTGCTTGCTTATGTTTTTCTTTCGGCTTGTTTTTTCCCACCGTTAGCCTCCCTCGCTCTCGGTTCTGTTGTAGTTGGTGTGCATCAACTTAATTAAAGTGCTTGCTCAGGTGTGCTGTATCTGTCTCTCTCGGTCTCTCCCTCCAGGGGACGGCTGCTGCTGTGTCAATAGCAAAACAACAGCCATAGCAGCTGGTGCATTCACACAATGTGACTGTGTGTGTTTCGATGTATAATCACGCATTTGTTCATCTGAGTGTGTTTGTGTGTGTGTGTGATTGGGTGTAAGTGCGCTTTTCTGTTTCAAGCTAGGAAGCGTCACCCATAGTCCTATTTGATCAGGATAACAGACATCAGATGACAAGTGACCTGTTAAAACTTAGTACATTTGTGTGTCCTACTAGTTAAAGAGCATCTCTGGTCGAGGATCGACAGCTAAAGTTGTTTCGACACCATGGATTTGTCAAACATTGGGAATCTAATGCGGAAAACGCAGGCCTCCATTGTGGAGAAGAGTTATCTCTTTAAAAATACAGATCTGGTTATAGATGTGAGTATGACTGTGTTTCTGCTGTACCAGCACACTTGAGTTTGGGTGGAGTTTGCACTGATGGAGTTGAGATGTGGTTTAAGTGTGAAAATTGGTGGTTTGCAGTGTCTTGTGTGTTTGTAAAAGTGATGTAATCAAGGTAATGATGTAAAACAGCATTGTACCCGTATAAATAGTACTGTGGTGGTGCCATTAAGCAATGATGGGATCAGATGGTAATACTGTGGTATTTTAATATAGTACATAATGATGATCGTATTTTTATACAACAGTGTTTATACGGTACTTCCAGGAATACCTTGTAGCTATTGTGACTTGTGCTATTTGGTTTAAATATATTAAAATTAAAACACCAAAAACTAAAATCAGTTGATTTAAATGCAACAAGGTCATAATAAATGTTTGAATTATTAAAAATAAAGGTCACAATGAAGCAAATTAGCATGTAAAATAAAATATCTAGTATTAACCAATCTAATATCAATTAATATTGATAAATTAAAAAAATCTGTAATATAGGCTAAAATCCAGTATAGTGCCATTGCTTGTCAGAAGTTTGGTTTTTAAAAGAAATCTCTTATTCTCACCAAGGTTGCATTTATTTGATCAAAAATACAGTGAAGATTATTGGCGTGAAACATTATTAAAATTTAAAACAACTGCTTTCTATTTGAATATATTTTAAGATGTAATTTATTTGTCACTTTTTTTACTGTCACTTTTGATCAGTTTATGTGTCCTCGCAGAATAAAACAAAAATAATTATTGCATTTTACTGACCCCAAACATTTGAACTGTAGTGTATCTTGCTTTCCTAGCTGTATAGCCATTGTACACAAGGTAAATGTCTAAAAATTACTGTGGTATTATTGTGGTACCTTATCAAAAAAGTCAAAGTAGTACTTCCTGGTACTTTTAGAGTTTCCGAGTATTAATTGTAGCTTAAAATTGTGTTTGACACAAATCCACTGTTTTAGATCGTGACATTTTGTTCACAATGGTATTCCGTGAGAACTCTTTCATACAAATACTTTAAAATAAAAGCTGGGTTTCAAATGAGCTGAACTCTGAGTGTGTTATGAAATGGGAGGGGTCATGATGGAGTGGTTGAGTTTATTCAAGGCTCTCCAGAGGGCCTTGACATACTGTGTGTTGCAGTGTTTATATATCACCTCGTGCTGCTCTGCGTCTGGAGGATGGAAGTGTGATTCTTTATCTCACTTCTGCTCTTTCTCTGTCAGGCTGTGGGCAGTGACGGAATCCGGGTCATGATGGAGAGCGCCCTGACAGCCAGGGACCGGGTGGGCGTGCAGGACTTTGTCCTGCTGGAGAACCACACCAGCGAGGTGGCGTTCATCGAGAACCTCCGCAAACGCTTCAAGGAGAACCTAATTTATGTAAGAGCTGTTCTTCCGGTACTATTCACTTTTAAAGCTCAAAGCCCAGTGTATTGATCTGATCTCTGTGTGTCTGTCTTCCTCCCACAGACGTACATTGGCTCAGTGCTGGTGTCCATGAACCCCTACAAAGACCTGGAGATCTACACTAAACAGCACATGGATCGATACAGGGGCGTCAATTTCTATGAAGTCTCACCTCACATGTAAGCCATCAGCAACAAGTCATTATTACCCACAATTCTGATCTCTTTTATTATGCAGATTAGTCTAATGGGATGGGTAATGGTTATGTTTTTTTTTTAAATAAGGGCCCTGTCCCAAATTGCACCGTAAACCCTCGCTGTCTTCCTCCGTGTCCACATTTTCCTGACCTAATGCCATTTTGACTGTCGGGTAGAAGTCTGCTGCAGAGCTCGCCCCAGTGCGGGCTCGGCAGAAGTGCGCATCGAGGGTACAAAGGAGGCGCGTGCGTGCACCTTTGGGAAAGCTAAAATAACAAATAAGACACCCTATGGGCTTGCGTACTTAACAGACACGTGCTCGTGGCGGCCTTTGTAAGTCAGCAAGAGCGCAAGTGCACATGAAGTCTGCCATTTGGGACAGGGCCAAGGACTACAACAATGGCCTGATTTGTCACGCATGTAAACTTGCATCCTTATGGTATTTGTAGTCCTTATTTAGCGACAAAAGTTTTTTTCCTCCTCTAAAAAAATAGAGTAGCTTCAGAAGTCATATTTGAGGTAGTGGTTGTCTAAAGTTTGGCATTTTTAATCATCAGCATCGGCAAGTTTTTCTGTATTGGCCCGATGTGTCAGAAACGGGACTTTTATTTTGACAGCGCCAAGAAGGCTAGAGCGAATTGGATGTGGATGGGAGAGTTCACCTGTCACTGCACACTGCACATTCAACAAACTTTAAACCCTTCAAACTAAGCTGCGCTATATCCAATTATTTACTTGGAAAAAACAGGCTTACCAGAATTTTAACCTTTTTTTATTCTTTTTTTTTTTTTTTTGTGAGAAATATTATATTATGATTACAGAATCAAGAAGTTCCCATCTAAAATAAATTTTTCATATTTTTATGTTTATTCATTTTCAAATTGTTTATTTATAATTTAGTAAATATTGTATAAAATAAATATAAAGTTCGCAATGTAAAGTTCACACCAAAAAACATGAGAAATTCCAGAGGGAACCAGTGGCTTGAAAAACGAATTCTCTTCCACATTTTAGGACTACAAAATTTCAGTGAACATTTCTGTTGACTACTCATTATCAAATGCAAATTGCATTAAATATATATTAGTATTAAATATGCAAAATGCCTAATCCACATTTTAATATACTTGGTGGACCTTGTTTATCTTCCTTGTTTTCTTCTATTAGTGAAGAGGAAATTCCTTTGGAATATCTGTGAGGAATGTTGAGGACTATAAACTGAAATTCTGCTACAATCGTAACATTCATAGACTCTCATCTGTAAGGTTTATGTGTGTGTGACAGCTTTCAGTTATCCGGAGGGATAAAGTGAAGTATAAAGTTATAGTTCACCCGAAGCTGTACCACTGTGTTCATCTTACACTGATAGCAGACGTGTAAAAGTGATGAAAGCATTATCTCAGCTCTCACACAGGCTGAAAAAACACAGACCCTCTCTGGTGTAACTGCTCTTTCCTCATGAAAATCATTGGCAACTCCATCCTCACTGGGCTTTTCCACTGTTTACACAGCAATGTTACTGACACCTGAATGTCCATTTAGGCTTCTACCAAAGGAATGTGTTATTTTAATGCTACCAGAAAAGGAATTTGAAGCAACACTGCACATACTACTACTACTTAATTTAACATTTATTATTATTATTATTTTTGTTGTTGTTGTTGCATTTTACGTACATAATCTTTCTGTTTTGATAAAAAAATAATTATCATTTGTTAAAATACATAACCAAGCGCTTATGATGTTGACACATTCCCTATACAGTTACGCTGTGGCTGATAATGCGTATCGCTCCATGCGGACTGAGAGACGGGACCAGTGCATCCTCATCTCAGGTGAGAGTGGTGCTGGCAAGACCGAAGCCTCCAAAAAGGTTCTGCAGTACTACGCCATCACCTGCCCTGCTAGTGAGCATGTGCAGACCGTCAAAGATCGCCTGCTACAATCCAACCCTGTGCTGGAGGTAAACATGTACACAGCTCATCTAACCCCACATGTTTCATCATGACATACAATTTCACTGATCTCCAAATGCCAGCGTATAGTGGTGAGATCAGTACGGGCTGTAATTGTTGCCCTGGACTGCTGTCACAGAGGAAAATTCCCCTAATGACTCTCAACGATGCCAAGTTTATTCTGAGCAGTTTGTAGTCCTGGTAAACCTCTCCAGTAATTATACGCCACTGTTATTATCTGTGCGATAAGACTGGCGCATACATGAAGGACATCTAAAAATGGGAAGGCCAACGGAAGCAGCACAGACGGCTGTTTTGCAGATGTGGTGCTTCCCTGTAAACGAGCAGTGAATGCGCATCTAGTAGAGCGTGTGTATACTCGCATTTGTCTAAATTAAAAAGCTTGTTTTCTGTACGCCATCCTAAATTTTAATACTCCTCAATGTTCCTTTCTATCGTTGTTTGTTTTTCTTCTCTCAGGCCTTTGGGAATGCAAAAACTCTACGAAATGACAATTCCAGTCGCTTTGGGAAATACATGGACATTCAGTTTGACTTCAAGGTGAGTTCACTCATGTGTTATTATTACAATATTATTGTCATTAAATGATCATCAAACAAAGCTCACATCTCAATTTCTGTGATCCACCTTCTGTCGATACACTTTTACCCTTAAATGCTCTCCTTGGTTTGGGGATTTGGCTGCATCCACCTGCGTGTTTACGTGTTTGTGTTTGTCTGTGACATTATGCGTGTTTGCATGCGTGTCAGAAACCCGGTATTATCCCCTTTGCTTCTCCCTTTGGGTGTCCCCGTTGGCAGGGTGCTCCCGTAGGAGGTCACATCATTAACTACCTGTTGGAGAAATCACGTGTCGTGCACCAGAGCCACGGCGAGAGGAACTTCCACATCTTTTATCAGCTTATCGAGGGAGGAGAGGATGATCTGCTGAGGAGACTGGGCCTGGAGAAGAACGCCCAGCAGTACCAGTATCTGGTGAAGGTGAGACGGACCTCACACTCTTGTTATGATTACAGCAGATGTCTGAGGTCTAAAGAAAACTGTATATTTAAGAAAGAGTGTGTTAACACACATGCTTCAGCCGCACTAGGTAATGCTGGTCAAGTAGGCCATTCAGTTTCTGTCGTTTCCCCCTCACTGTAAAAAAATAAATAGGTAATTATAAATTTGTGTCGTCTACTTGTGCCTTTTTTTTTACACTTTAATCTTCTGTCTTGCAATGTGATGTTACATCTCTCAATGTGGTTTTATATTGCGCAATTTTGATCTCATTGCAACTTTGTCTTTTTATATCTTTTTTGTTATTGCGACTTTATATTTCACAATTTTTTTTCTTTTTATAATATTTCTTAATTATATCTTAAATGTATCTGTTATTATTGGCACTATTTATCTCATAGTTTCAATTATTTGCAACTTTATTTCTTGCAATTGCAACTATTTCTCAAAATGTGACTTGATATTTCACATCATTACCTTTTTTATTTTACTCTGATGCAGAAATACCAATACTAAATAAAAATGTCCAATAATATTTTTCAGCTCAGTTTACCACATGCATTTATGTTGGACTTTTGTACGAGTATTCATCATAAATGGCATCATAAATTTCCCCACAAGTATGCAGGAATGTCCCTCTGTTGCTTCCTCTCGCTCCCCTGGTGTTTAATTGAGGAAGTCAAGAGGAGCCCCTCCTCCCTTGGTTTCCTCTGTTGAGCTGATTGACTGTGTGTGTTTTTTTTGTTTTTGTTTTTTAGGGTAACTGTCCCAAAGTGAGCTCCATAAATGACCGCAATGACTGGAAGATAGTGAGGAAAGCCTTGAGCGTCATTGGCTTCACTGATGATGAAGTGGAGGTATGACAGACAAACTGACCAATCACCACATACACACACACACACTGTGAAGAATTTTTCTCCAAGAAATAGAAAGTTCTTCCTCTTTATCTGGGCAAACAGTCCTTATTTTTCTCAGAAATGACACATTTCTGAGAATTTTTTGTCAGAAATGACACATTACCTTGTAAATTGTGACCTTTCCTCTCATTCACACCCATCCCTTTCTCTCCACAGGAGCTTTTGAACATTATTGCCAGTGTACTACACTTGGGGAATGTCCAGTATGGAGGAGAGGACAGCGGCAGTGCCTACATCACTACAGAGACACAGATTAAATACTTAGCCAGGGTAACAGGACAGTTTATTTATATCACTGGTCTGTGGCCACATGTGCATGACCTCTGTGTTTAAACCTCTAACCATGTTTCTTCTCTTGAAATTACATGGCAGGGGTTTGTTTTTTGACTGTTTGTGTGTGTGTGTGTGTTTGTGATATTGCAGTTGTTAGGTGTGGATGGCACTGTTCTTAAGGAGGCTCTAACACATAAAAAGATCATTGCCAAAGGAGAAGAGGTATGTTTCCAATTATTAAGAGTGAAATGTTAATTATTGCTATTGCTAACAGATAAATATCAGTATTAATTGCTCATACTTGGAGTTAGGGATTTTTCAAAACTTGTTTGTTGAGGGGAAGTCTGCTATTACTATTGATCATATTCATGATTTTTGGCAGTTGATAAAAAGGGTGAAAAAAACGCATAGCTTTACAATAAATGAGGAATCTGAGTCATAGGGAGCAGAATATCATAGAAACTTTGTTGTAGGCGGTAAATATTACATGGGAAAGCACCACTAACATTTTCCTCAAAAATGTAATGATTAATAAAGTATGAAGAATCTTAAATCACAGATTCAATTCAAAGCTTTTATTCAAACCATCTGTAATAAAATAGTGCTGGTTAGCTTTAAAAGCTTTTTTCGAGTGTTTAGTTTGTTCTGAGTATTCAATGTAAAAAAAGTTGTGTGTGTGTGTGTGTACAATACGTAATAATTACTATGAGTTAATAATTTCCCATAATTCCACCTGTTTGTGTTTTTGTTATAGCTGATGAGTCCTTTAAATCAAGAGCAGGCCGCTTCAGCACGGGATGCCTTATCTAAAGCCATATACGGTCGTACTTTTACTTGGCTGGTCAACAAAATTAATGGCTCTCTGGCCTTCAAGGTATGGACCGGTTCTGTTGTTAAATACACTAGCAGCTCCATGGCTTTGCAAATTCTCTGAGAGAGGCTTGTTATTAAATGTGGATGTTTGGCGCCCCCACATGGAGAAAGCCTAGCAGTGACATGTCATCTGATTACTCTGGTTTTCCGATGACTGTTAATAGAACACATTCTCTCCATATGATCTTACAGGCTGTGTATGTTTAGTCTGAACGGCATGCCACAGCTGTTGTTGAATATTTCTGTGCTTTTAATGTCTCACAGGATGATTCATTCAACAGTAAGAACGCCTCTGTCATTGGTCTGCTGGATATCTATGGCTTTGAAGTCTTTCAGAACAACAGGTAGAGTAAATACATAAAGTGTAATGACATTTTACAATTTAACAATATATGTATGCTATATACTATATGTTATATTGCATAAACTGTTTATTTTATACTACTCTAAATATTTTAATATCAATTTAAATATTTTAAATAATTAAATCACATTATTATTGTAATATTTGATGGCATTTTCATATTATAATCTTAAATATGCCTACATCACTACAGAGACACAGATTAAATACTTAGCCAGGGTAACAGGACAGTTTATTTATATCACTGGTCTGTGGCCACATGTGCATGACCTCTGTGTTTAAACCTCTAACCATGTTTCTTCTCTTGAAATTACATGGCAGGGGTTTGTTTTTTGACTGTTTGTGTGTGTGTGTGTGTTTGTGATATTGCAGTTGTTAGGTGTGGACGGCACTGTTCTTAAGGAGGCTCTAACACATAAAAAGATCATTGCCAAAGGAGAAGAGGTATGTTTCCAATTATTAAGAGTGAAATGTTAATTATTGCTATTGCTAACAGATAAATATCAGTATTAATTGCTCATACTTGGAGTTAGGGATTTTTCAAAACTTGTTTGTTGAGGGGAAGTCTGCTATTACTATTGATCATATTCATGATTTTTGGCAGTTGATAAAAAGGGTGAAAAAAACCCATAGCTTTACAATAAATGAGGAATCTGAGTCATAGGGAGCAGAATATCATAGAAACTTTGTTGTAGGCGGTAAATATTACATGGGAAAGCACCACTAACATTTTCCTCAAAAATGTAATGATTAATAAAGTATGAAGAATCTTAAATCACAGATTCAATTCAAAGCTTTTATTCAAACCATCTGTAATAAAATAGTGCTGGTTAGCTTTAAAAGCTTTTTTCGAGCGTTTAGTTTGTTCTGAGTATTCAATGTAAAAAAAGTTGTGTGTGTGTGTACAATACGTAATAATTACTATGAGTTAATAATTTCCCATAATTCCACCTGTCTGTGTTTTTGTTATAGCTGATGAGTCCTTTAAATCAAGAGCAGGCCGCTTCAGCACGGGATGCCTTATCTAAAGCCATATACGGTCGTACTTTTACTTGGCTGGTCAACAAAATTAATGGCTCTCTGGCCTTCAAGGTATGGACTGGTTCTGTTGTTAAATACACTAGCAGCTCCATGGCTTTGCAAATTCTCTGAGAGAGGCTTGTTATTAAATGTGGATGTTTGGCGCCCCCACATGGAGAAAGCCTAGCAGTGACATGTCATCTGATTACTCTGGTTTTCCGATGACTGTTAATAGAACACATTCTCTCCATATGATCTTACAGGCTGTGTATGTTTAGTCTGAACGGCATGCCACAGCTGTTGTTGAATTTTTCTGTGCTTTTAATGTCTCACAGGATGATTCATTCAACAGTAAGAACGCCTCTGTCATTGGTCTGCTGGATATCTATGGCTTTGAAGTCTTTCAGAACAACAGGTAGAGTAAATACATAAAGTGTAATGACATTTTACAATTTAACAATATATGTATGCTATATACTATATGTTATATTGCATAAACTGTTTATTTTATACTACTCTAAATATTTTAATATCAATTTAAATATTTTAAATAATTAAATCACATTATTATTGTAATATTTGATGGCATTTTCATATTATAATCTTAAATATTATTGTAATTATATTGTTTTACATTTGATATTTTATTTTTATTGTTTGTTTGTTTATTATTTGTATAGCACATTTAAAAACAACTCATGTTGACCAAAGTGCTTTCCAATAAAACAACATATAAAACAAAATAACCAAAACTAAAACAGCAAGAACATAAAAAAAACAGGGCATAAACAATAAATTAGTATTTTCATATATATATATATATATAAAATATTAATTATCATACTTATCATATTATTAATTATATTGGATTCATATTTATGCAATATTTTCAAATAATATTCATACATTATATAAAAAAATAAAGCCTTCATTTATTATTATTATCATTTATTATCTTTAAATCTGGGTAACTTTATCTATTTATTTATTTATTGTTAACGAGTAGAATCGGACTAATTTTCAGAGATAGCTCACTCTGACTCTCTTTGCCTGTCTATTTAGTTTTGAGCAGTTTTGTATCAACTATTGTAATGAGAAGCTGCAGCAGCTCTTCATTGGACTCTGTCTGAAGTCGGAGCAGGAGGAATATGAAGCCGAGGGAATCACGGTGAGAATTCCCTGAAACACATAACTCATATGCATTCTGTACACACACAGCTCAGCATATGTAACTCATGTGCGGGGTGCTGGAATCAGGGGCGTAGCCATCATTTCAGAAGTGAGGGGGACAGAAATGTTATATAAAAAATAAATATATATATATATATATATA